GATGCATATTGACCACTCAATCCACAAGCATTTATTAAGCAGTTACTGAATGTTAGGTACTGTAAGAGATGAATACAATACAGAATTCAAAAAGAAATAGACTCCCCTTTTTAGGAGTTTGCATCCTATCAGGTAACATAGTTTTTATTTTGTGTAAATGACAAAATAAAAGGTAGTCTAGAGGGAGGAGAGGCAGGTAGGGTGCAAGCAGCCTGGGACACGGACAGGAAAAGGCTTCATAAAAATATGATTCTTGATCTCTAGTCTTGCTTTTGCACTGGCTGTACCCGAAGCCTGGAATGCACTCCCCAACTGACCTCTGCCTCATGGAATCCCCGTCTTCCTTTTCAAGGATCACATTTTTTCTTTGAAGCCTTTCCTGATGCCTTCACCTGCAAGTAGTACTGTTTATTTCAAACTGTCTTATATTTACTACATTATATATTTAGTCACTTTATATTTATGCTGCATATATGTGTATATATGCGTGTGTAGGTATATATACATATATATTATGTATAAAATGTTCAAGAGACACAATTTCTGGGTAATTTATCATTTTATTAATTATGACTAGTGAGTAATTAGTGAAAGGATGGTCATTTGGTTGTTTCTCTTAAACCAAAGACCAACCATGGCAATTTATTGATGCTTATATGCCCTTGGAAGAGTTGGTGTTCTGAACAGGTGACAATCAACTCTGATTGGTTAACAATTAATGAGAAGAATGAATGTTATAATGACAGGTGGACCTATTCTAATGAGGGCCTGGGGGATATGACTTTGATTATGTAACTTTTACTCCCAGACCACCCTCAGTTCTGTGCAATCTAGACAAAAAGTATACTCCCCCACACCCAAGCCGGAGTAGAGCTCAATGGGCTTCCCCACTTGGGTAGGGTCTGAACAAGATTGAGGAGAAAGTTAATCCAATCTCATTATCAGCAATGTTATTCAATATGTTCACATGTTGGCTGAATAACCTATAATGGGCTGATTTCTGAATGAGGAAATAAGAGGTAAAAAATAGTAAATAGTGATTAATATGAGAGAATTAGTCATTTCTCATATGTATGTGTTTGTGTGTGTATAGTCTCTCCCATTAGAAGGTTAACCCCTTGAGAGTAGTAATTGCTTCATGTTTTATACTTATGTACCTAGTACAGTGACTAGTACAGATTGGGCACTTAACAAATGGTGGTGGATTGATTGATTAAAGGAAGTAAAGGATTCTACAAGATGGAGGTGAGGGATAAGTGCGTGCCAGGAATGGGAGACCAATACACAGGTATGGAGATTAGAAGATGGAGTGAGGAAAAACAAGGCTGTTAACTGGACCATAGAGTATGGAAAGGGGAATGTTACTAACACTGCACTAACTGTGTGGTGCTAGGTAAATCACTTAATCTCTCTGATCTTCATTTTCTTCAAATGTAAAATGGAGGAATGAACTACATAATTTCTGAGATTGCTTATCGCTCTAAATCTATGATGCTATGACTATTGAGGACTTCCTTTAGAAACTGGCACATTAACTAAGCCTTAAAGGAAGCAAAACCAAAAATAAAAGGTAAAAGATAGTGGATATTTCTTATTAGGTAACTGAAAGTAGTTATCAATTTTTAGAGGTAGCCAGCAACAAGGTCCCAATCAATAATCAATATCTTTAAAGTCCATGTTAAAAGTCTATGTTAAAAGATATTGGTCTTAACACTCAGCATTGAATGTTAAGGCTTAACATCAATACTGTGAGGTTTTTGTTGTTGGTTTTTTCCACCTTGAGAATAGTGTAAAACGATCATAGATGTGACAAAAGGGCACAGTTTGCAGTCACTTTCTACAGGTTTTGGTTTGGACCTGAGGACTTGATGCCCCACAATCTTGTAGGAAGAAGTAGGGTCAATAATGATCACAGCTGGTTCCTGCTTGATCCCAGCTCTGATTTGGTCGAAATACTCCTTTTTATTTTAAAAATGGAGAAAAGAGGAAAGCCCAGTGAGGCAACATAGAAGCATCAGAAGTTTATTTGAGACACACAGTTTAGTTCTCATTGGCTACAGCTGGATTTCATCTAGATCCTGGCATGGAAGACAGTGTGTTTTCATGATCATCAGGATGGCTAATGGACTCTCTTAACACTTGGGGAAAAAAAAAAATCTGAGTTCTCTCCTCACAAACATCCCCCACCCAACCATGCACTCACTAAGGAATGCAAGGTAAATCTCTTAGTCATATTATACCATAATTTTTCCTTCCTTCAAATGAAATTGCTATTCCTTTCTTCCATGACAAGTACTGTTATACAGTGGCTAGACCATTGGACTTGGAGTTATGAAAACCTGGGTTCAAACACTACCTCAGCCACTTACTAGCCACATGACTATGAGCAAGTCACTTGACACTCTCTGAACCTCAATTTCCTCATCTCTAATGGGGGTTATTAATACTGTTAGCGTGTATCTTAGAAGGCTGTTATGAAATTCAAATGAGATAATTTATTCAAGTGCTTTGCAAATCTTATGGCACCATGTGAAAGTCCATTATAACTATACATATACTTTGATCTTTCACAATGTTCATTCTATATATAATTTCAAATTTAATGCTAGATGCAAGAAAGGCAGATGCAAATAGAGATAGAAAGAGGTAGATGGGTAGATAGATATAGATATAGATATAGATATAGATATAGATAGATATAGGTATAGGTATAGATATAGGTATAGGTACATGTAACTTTGAAGACTCTTCTTTGCTTTGATTCTTTTTAGAAAATTTCTCTCTTACAACTGGCCTGAGGTACTAGGTAGCACAATGAATAGAATGTTGGGCTTGAGTTCAAATCTACCCTCAGATCCTTACTATCTATGTAACTCTAGATATTATTAAGCTATGCATATTCAACTGCAGCAAAAAAAAAAAACAGCCCTTAAACAAGTCATAACTTTCTCTTAGGCATCCCCAACAAGACCCACCTCTGAAAAATATCTTCCAGATCTAGCTCACTGTATCTGACTTTCCTCCTCTCTCCTTTCTTCTCCCTGTCTGACAATTTCAGAAAATGCTATGTGAGAATTTTTTTTTGGAGGGGGGAAGAGGTTGGGAGTAGATAGACAGGCAGAAGAGCTTTGCTTAAATCACTCAATCCAGGGGTATAATTGGTGATAGCAAGCTGACTAAAATGGTGTCCTTAATTCACTTGGTGGGGGTGAGGGTGCAGCCTTCTGAGAAGGCTGTGGTAGAAGCCTGGGGTGACCTAGTCTACTGATGGTTAAGCCACAGTGAGGAGGGGCATGGGGGAATAGGCAAGTGGACAGTCAAGGAAGGAGCTTTCTACAGGTCTGAGAAAGAGAAGGAGGAAGTAAGCCATCTTATAGCTTGAAAAAACTATCTTGTGATTTCTTCGATATAGGAAGTTCCCAATGAGGAACTCCATCTCTCTGGACACAGAAGCATCCTCTCTCTAACCTATAGTCTTAGAGAGCTGCCAAGGGCACTGGGAGATTAAGGGTCTTGTCAGAGGGTGAGATTTGACTAGACCAACTCTCTGACTTAGACTATTCTACCTTTCAGCTTCCTGTTTAAGTAATTCTGACTATTTCTACCCTGTTGACTCAACCTTTGTACGGCTCACCTGTAAAGGGAAAAGGAGTATTCATGATCTCTCCAGCCCATTCCTTCCAACCAGGGAAAAAAGAAAGTCACAATATATGAGGCCTGTGGAGAACTGGGTAAAATAGGAAACTGCTCAGGGGCTCCTGGATCAATAAATAACCTAGGGCCTGAGGAGAGTTTCTGAGGGCAGAGGGGAAAGGATGGTGTTTGTGGCTTCTAACCTACTCCCTTGTTTGTGGGGATATTTGATTGGAGCTCTTCATTCCATCCCCAATCCCTTAATATATAGTGTCTGAGGTCAGATTATCTCAGTAATGATCTCTTTTCTCCTTGGTAAAGACAATGGGGTGGGGATAGTGGGGTCTGGGGCAGACAGTAAAAGGGGTGGTTCTGTCCCACCTTTAGCCTAGCCTGTTACAGGACTTCACTGTTGGCTCTACCTCAGCTTCTTCTGCCAAGAGGAGGAAACAAAGTACCACTTACTAGAAAAGTAGTGAGGCTGAAACATTTAGGAGATATGGTCCAGCTCTAGGCACCTTGAAATTCCCAGAGAAGCTTCCTAATCTCCTTGCCCACTCCCTTCGTCAGGCAATCCCCAGAGTTCTCAGTTTGGCATTGTACAAGTAAAGATAACTACATTTATTTACACAAACTACTTAGTAAGTGTGCCCAAGTATGCATCGAAGTAGCTCAGTTTTAAGTTTTATTTTATTACAATGCCCAACTCTGCTCATGTGTCATTGAGCTTCGTGGTTTATTGCTTACGTAGCATGGTGATTACATAAGAAATTTAAAAATATTAGAGGGAATATAGTTTGTGCATATTTTCAGAATTAGATTTAGTACCTCACCCCCCCTTTTTTGTGGTAACTGTAAGATCTATGAGGAAATTAGAAAGAGGCAGCATGGCATAGTGATAATACACTGGACTTGGAGTCAGGAACACTTGGGTTCAAATTGTGCCTAAGATACTTAAAAGGTGTTTGTGACTCTGAGCAAGTCACTTAACCCCTGTTTGCCTCCACTTTGCCCATCTATAAAATAGGTATACAAGAACTGCCTCTTAGAATTGTGGTATGGATAAGATTAGATAGTACATGTAAAGATCTCTGTAAGCCTTAACACCCCACATAAATATTATTATTAATGTGTTTGACCCTTATTTCTAAAAAAGTGCTTTGGTACTTGTGACCTAGAGGTCCCTTCCAACTTGACATCTATACCCCTATCAAATGTTCTGCAGGCCAGTACACAAAGAGGAAGGAGCTGTGGTGTCTCTCAGTAAGCCTCTTGGGAAACTGAGTAATTATTTGAGGACAAATGTGGCTAATCTAGCTCATAGTTTTAATTTGTTTCTTTTTTTTCTCTCTCTCTTTTTGGTTCAGGAGAAAGGATGTTGGCTTGTTATCTTACAAAGATCATTTGCCTGTGAGCCAGGTGGTAGTTGGTGACATTGACCGACCTGGATCTGAAGCCAAACTGACCGTGGGCCCCGTACGCTGCCAAGGAGACCGTAAGTTGGCTAAGCAGCTGGTTGGCAAATGCTTTCTTCTTATGGCCTTGCAGTTCTGTATTTCCAGGCTTCTCAGGGTGTCTTGAAATATGGGTGTACTCTTATCCTCAAGTTCTTCTGGAAATCTCATAAGTCAGTTCCCTTACAGAGCCAAATGAATGACTGAATAGATATGTAGGGTGTAGGGAGGTGGCCATAAAATCTCTAGCACAGGGGTCCAGATTTGGGCATAAAATATGCCTATTAATCTTCCTTGTATTGTATGTGTAGCAACTTTGACTACCTAAGTTTATAGTGATATAAATAGGCATGCTAATAGCATAAACGCAGCACTGTACATCTGTGATGCCATTGAGGGCTGCTGTTAATACTATTAGCGGCACTATTTATACCACCATAAACTAAGTTTATGGTGGTATAAATAGCAGCATTATGGCTTAATGTATCATTGCAAACTTGGATTACAGCCATGTAAAGTTTGACATTATTGCTATCAAATTTCATCAGCAGCAGCACTTGATGATACCTTGTAAACCAAAGATTGTTTCCTTAAACTGTCTCTGCTTTCAGGATTAGCAGTACAAAGAAGAAGTTGGGGCTCGTTCTTGAGCCCTAAGTGGGAGGGAAGGGAGTTAGAATGATGGAAGTCCCACCTAATTAAGGCTACTATTAGAAGTTAATGTTCTTTGATATCCTTCACTGTGCTTTATATGCATTAGGAGAGAAAGGATGACAAAGATTGCCTTAGGGAATTCACTAGGAGGGTCCTGAGCATACTTTTTCCTTCTCCAGTATATACCTGTGAAACATTTTTTAAAGAGACTGGGTTTCCCTGTCTGGCCCGGGCTAGATGTGTAGTGGTCAGTTATGGTTTGATCCTGAAGCTGATTGGGACAGAAACTTTGACCTTCTACTTCTAGTCTGGGTCAGTTTTGTTCCCTCTTAAGCATCCTGGTAGTCCTTCCCCCACCTCGAAGGGTCTAACCATACTGGTGCCAGACTTAGTGCAGCTCAGAACTACAGAAATCAAACAATCCTGGCCTCAGCCTCTCCCAATATTGGAAATTACAGGAGGGTACCACAGGTTCACAGATGACCCTACTAAGTGTTGGGAGTAATGGGCATGTGAGATCTTGACCTAAGGTCACTAAACTGGGCATGAGGAAACCTAGGATTTGTTTCCACACATGAGTGGTTACCCAGGAGAGACCTCAGGCAAACCCCCTCCATTTCCTCAGCTGTGGTTAGTAAAGCACTGACTGCTTCCTATATTCCCCACAGGGAAGAGGTAAGGAAAAAGTGCCTGTCACTGGATTCCTCCTAAAAGAAAACATCATTTAAAAAGGATATAGTTCCTACTTCTGTAAATCCTGGTAGAGTTAGAACCACTCAGTACTATATTATTATATGCACTCAGAGAAGTTACCCAAGGAAGACAATGATATTAACTTGAGAGCTTATAATTGTCAGCTCTGGAACCATTTAAAGCAAACTATTGCAACCTTAGACTGAACCAAAAGAGATATATTATGCAGGATTCGGCAAGGTAATAGTCCCACTTTACTCTGTCCTGGCAGATTACATCTGAAGTCCCCTTTTCCTTTCTGGTAACTACAGTTTTAGAGGAATACTAAGCTGGAGACCATCTAAAGAAGGGCCACAAGGATAGAGAAGGGCCTCAAGTTCATTCTGTATGATGAACAGTTCAGGAAACTGGGGATATTTTGCTTGAAGAAAAAACTTAGGGAGTTCCTAATTACTATCCTTAAGTCCTTGAACAGCTAGAATATGGGAAAGAGATTTGACTTTTACTTGGTCCTAGAAGACAGAATTAAGAGCAATGAGTCGAAGTTACAAAATGGGTGAAATTTAGTAAGTTAGTCAATAAACATTGACCAAGCACCTACTATGCACCCAGCACTATGCTAAATGCTTGGGACACAAAGAAAGGTAAGCAACAAAAGGAAATATTTCCCAATAATTAGATCTGTCTAAATATGGAATGGCCTGCCCCAGAAAGAAGTAGATTATATATCCCTGACCGAAGGCTTTTGAGCAATGGTTGGATGGCTATGTGTTGTGTGTATCAGAGAAGGGATTTTTTCCCAAATATTAATTAGACTACTTGGCCTCTGAAATATTTTCTAACTCATCTCTAATGTTCCTAATACAAAAGAGGGTTGGGGCATGTATAATTTTTCCTTACTTCCATTTAGAAGAAGAAAAAGGCAACCTTTTAAAATTAGTGTGATCTAGGATGGAAGTTGGGCTTTTGTAAGCCTTTATAATATGACATTATTACCTTCACATTACCAGACAATGCATACAAAGAGAGGTACCAGGGACTGTTACTTGAAAGAAAGTGTTTATGCAGAAAAAAAAGAGTCTGCTATCCAGATGAATAAAGACAAAGTGCGGACTTTACAAATAACAAGTGGTGTCCAACGTAAATTAAATTCACATTCATTTGGAGGCAGTGTTACTATTTAAGAATACTGTAGTGCACAGGTGAAAGTGATCAATACATACTTCATAGAGCTGGACATATCTAGATCATGTGGCTACAAAGGGATGAGATAGATTTTTTTGCATAGCATATAGCCACCAGTCTCATTACTTTATAGTTATGCTATATACAATATATATTGATGCAGCCAATCGGCAGGTTTCTCACATACACTTTCTAATTTTGAGATTAGCTTCTAAATGGATGATAGTTACCTAGCAAGTAACTGATGAAAATTGAATAATTCGACAGATCTTCATTACTATTCTTGAAGATAAGAATAACATATTTTGTGACACACATTCGCATATCTGTCTATACACACCCATGTAGAAATGTGTGTATGTATACACACACACTTTTTAAAATTATAGCCATTCATCTTTTTTCTACCCTAAACTCTTCCCTCTAGAAGGTACCAATTGGTCAACAAGCATATATTAATGACTTAGTCTGTGCCAGGCAGAGTGGGAAGTATGCAAAGAAAAGCAGAACAGTCTCTGCTCTTAAGGAGCTCACAGTCTAATGAAGGAAAACAACATGTCAACAACAATGTACAAATAAAAATATCTACAAGATAAATTGGAGATAGTTTCCAGGGGAAGGCATTTGCATTAAGGAATACTGAGAAAGGATTCATTAACTGAGATGTGAAAGAAAGCAGGAAAGTTAGGAGGGGGAGATGAGGAGGGAGAGAGTTCCAGACACAAGAGACAGCCAGTGAGAATACTTTGAATAAAGAGATGGAGCATGTTGTGTGAGGAAGGCCAGGAGGAGCCTGGCAAGAAGACCAGTGTCATGAGATTAGCAGAGTATGGAGAAGGGGGAAGGTATAAAAAGACTGAAAAGTTAGGAAGGTTCCGGATTAAGAAGGGCTTTACAAACCCAAAGGCTGTTTGATCCTAGAGGTAATACGAAACTACTGGACTAAAAGGAAATATACAGTACTCAAATACAAATTGGACAAAGCCAGAGCTCTTGTTCATGACACCTTCCCCAAGTAAATTTGTCTATAGAAGGAAATATAAGTATGGGCTACAGATCTTCATTTTAGTCCTAGGTCTTGTACTTTGTAGATTTATGCTTTTGCTCATATTCTCTCTCTCTCTCTCTCTCTCTCTCTCTCTCTCTCTCTCTCTCTCTCTGCCCCAGTTTTCTCACAGATGATTTTAAGGTTCCTTCTAGCTATAACACCTTATTTTCTGCCATCTGGCACAGTGGATAGGATGCTGAGCCTGGAGTTAGGAAGACCTAAGTTCGAATGTAGCTTCAGATACTTATTAACTATGTGACTGTAGGTAAGTCACTTACCCTCAATTTGCCTCAGTTTCCTCAAATGTAAAATGGGTATACTAACAGCACCTAAGTGCTCAAATGAAATATTTGTAAAAAGCACTTAGAACAGTGCCTGACACATGGAAGACATCTATTAATGCTTATTCCTTTCCCTTCCCTTATCCTTCTCCATCCCCTTCCTCCAGCTTTATAGCCTAAAGTGAATGTCACAAAGATGAGTTTATGAGTACTTCTCAAAGTGTGACAGGACATTTTGTTGTTTCTGGGGTTAACTTTCCTTGATATTACTTACCTAAGTCTCTGATGTCCAAATCGACAGTAAAAGAAAAAAAGTCTAGCCTAGAAATGACTCTTTCTGTAAGTTGAGATGTACAAATGACTAAAGAAGCCATGGGAAGATAGTATAGAGATTTAAGGTCCCAAATCTATCCTGGAGTCCTGAAGAATGAAACTATTTTGGGGGCTCTGCCCAACCGTTTCATGCCTGCTGAGTTTCATTTTTAGTTTGATTCATCTGAACCCATAGACCCTTATAATCAAAATGCTAAGGCAAATCAGTGAGTTCCACTCAGGTCGGCTGCACTTCCCATATAGCTTTGTGACATCAGCGTGCCCTTGTCTTTTCTTTGCAAACATGTTCAAATGCAAACCTCAAATCTAAGTGAAACTGAAAGCAGGCTTAGCGGTGGAACATTAGCAGAGATTTAAAAAAAAGTCAGGTGAATTTACAAAGTCCCTTCTTAGACAAAAAATACCTATCAAAAAATAAACAAAAGAGCTATTTGGAGGATGAGGTAGTCTGATGAGGTGAAAACTAATTTTCCTGGAAGTATATTAACATTCTTGCAGGAAGTAGGTAGGCTTAAATGCATTGAGTTTTCACATGGAGTGTTTTGCTATTAGGGAAATCAGGTGACCACAACAATCAGAGCAGGAAAAAGGCACCATGAACTCTAGATCGGGTTTGAGAATTTTATCCTCTGTATCTTATCTTTGAATAGAAGCTCGAAACCCTGGTTCCAACATGTGGGATGACATCACAAAATAACTAGTAGCACACCATGGAGAGCCAAATTTTCTAAAATTAAATACAGGTATATTTATAAAAAGTTCTGTCAAAAAGTTGCACCATCTGTTTTGCTTACCTCTCATTTCAGCTCTGACAGCTAGTAATTTCAAAAGGTAAATATTCAATAGC